TAGTAGTGGTAGTGGTAGTGGTAGTAGTAGTAGTAGTGGTAGTGGTAGTAGTAGTAGTAGTAGTAGTAGTAGTGGTAGTAGTAGTAGTAGTAGTAGCAGTAGTAGTAGTAGTAGTAGTAGTAGTAGTAGTAAAAGATGGAAAGAGCGTGGTGACCTGTGGGCGTGGAGCACCTCGTGCGGTTACCTTCATGAGAGTGTGGATCCCTATGTGCGTGCTGAGCTCGCAGCGTTTGGAAAGCTCCAGCTGCGCTTGGGGAGATTCCAACGCATGGAGCCCCCGACGTGTGCTGAACCACGCGTACGTGGAGCCCCGTCGCGGCGACGGCGGGAATTTCACGCCGGCGACGGACGGCCAGAACCCAGCTTACGATAGCAGCCCCCCAGTAAGTGTAACCACCGCTTTCGGGGGAAACGAATTAAACGATGGGGTCGTTGTTCCACTAAGCATCGCCCACCGTTTGGAATTGAGGGGACAGAAATGACAGCCAGCAGGGACATGCAGTGGAGCTCCTCACTTGGGCGGAGGACGCCCGACGCAACAGAGCATGGGATGGGGACCTTTCTAACCAACAAGAATCGGACGAGGCACAGCTGAGGCAACGACGGCTCTCCCACCTAGTCCAAGCCAAACCCGATGCATGACCACGTCCACCTCATGAACATCTATATTCTCCAGCAGCCCTGGGGTGATGCACGTGTTAGTTTATTCTGTCCTCTTGGACGAAGAAAGTTTCCACATTCACTTCTTGAGACCGTCCGTCGATCGCTCCCTTGGGAGGTGGAACTGGTAAGAACTCATATTGTCCTATCCAGACCAGCTCAAAATCAGTCTCCAGACCTTTCCAAGGGTCCTCCCTGCACCGTTTTTTGAGCTGGGGCCAGCCGTTGTGACGAGAAGCTTCCTGGAGGCTCACGAAGGACCAAATGGGCTGGGGAGGGCCGACGTTGTCTCCATGACATTCCTCCGAAAATAAGAGAAGCAGCATCACAGAAGGAGCAGCCGGAACCCAGACATCCGAGGATCTGATCTCTTCGGTCCCCGGCATTGGAGCCCCCGAGCCTGTTTTGACGGGGCAGCTTGCGTCCTGGATCCACTTTTGACGGCCCAGCGACCCGAAGATGCTGCCCGCAAAGCAGACGTCGAGGGACAACCGCCAGTTGGAACAGTCACTGCGTCGGATATCTGAGAGGGCGAAAGCAATAGGAAGCCCCAAACGAACGAAAAACACAAGCAGGGCCGCGCCATCGTCTCGACTGACCCTCTTCCGATAGCAGGAGGAGAAGCCGCAGAAGCTCGGGGGCGTCCAACGGAGGGGTAAGGACTGTGTGTGTGTGTGGCTATCGTGGCTTGGGCAACGAAATCTCTCAGATTTCATGGACCCCTCTTCTTCTTTCAATGAGTTCCCTGGCCCCCCCCATCCATTCGCCCACGCGCATGCGCAACGAAAAACGATGGGTTCGATAACGCCGAGCTTCGCGCGTAAGCTTCCCGCATAAGGCCGCGCGTAAGTGCCCTCGTTCCCAATGTAGCGTGCCGCGCTGACGGCCCGCGTAGGCCGCGGCGTATGGTCACATTGCCATCTCGCGTAACACCCGTTTGTTGTTCGCTCACATGCTTCGGGCCATGATGCGGCTCACACCCCATTTCATAGCCCCCCTCTTCGGCACACCCCATTTCATAGCCCCCCTTCAATATCCTCTTCCTCGCCGATCGGAGCCCAGAGGGCCCCGGCCTGCTGAGAACGTGGGGGTTCCCCATCTGGGGGCCTATCGACGATCTATCGCCGAAGCATCGTCGATTCCAGGTCATTGGTTCCCCCGCCCCCTCTGAGCCCAGCCCCCTCGAATCGTCCCCCCCCCCAGGGCGGAGGGAAGGAGGGAACGAACGGAGGGGTCCATGGCGATCGGTTAGTAGGACGGCACCCTCCTCCCACCCTGGAGGATGATGGATGCAGGAGGGTAATTGGATGGAGGAGGAGGAGGAGGAATGAATGAATAAATCGTGGAGTCCTGTCCTGACCTCTGCTTGACTGTCGGGCTACTTAAATCTGATATACATCGAGAGAGCAAGGAAGAGGAGGAGGAGGAGGAGGTTCAGGAGGAACAGGAGGAATAGGAGGAGGAGATAAGACTCGATCTTGGAGGATGGGGAATTTCTTCCTCACCCCTCCCCTTGCTGCTCCTGCTGCTGCTCCTGCTGCTCCTGCTCCTCCTCCTCCTCCTCCTCCTCCTCCTCCTCCTCTGGGGAAGAGGGCCCGGCGCTCCGCCGCGGAGGCCTTCTCCGAAGCGGTGGGGTCCCCAGGCTTCTTCGAGGACACGCCGGTGCCCGCGTGGGCGCCGGAGCGCGCCGGGCTCAGTAGAGGGGCGCGCCCTGGCCCCTGGGCGGCCGTGTCGGCTCGGGGCAGATCGTTCGGGCGCCCCCCGAGGGTGCGGTGGCCACGCCGTGTGGTGGGTCGGTGGGTGTGCGGGGTGGCCGCGCGGGTCTGGGTGCGTGGGTCGTTCTCCGAGGAGGGCACTCGGGCGACCGGGGCCGCCAGGGTCTCAAGAGCGTGCGGTGGTGGGCCGTGCGTGTTTGCGTTTTTGTCGGAGGGAGGCCCAGACCTCCGACAACATGCTGGTTTTCAGCACCGTGGCGTTTTCGCTCGATTCGGCAGGACCTGAGTAACATATGCCCTCGAACACCAGTCATGTATGGAATAGCAACGCAGTGTGCGTTCGTGGATCCCCAAATGTTTGTGCGTGTGCGGGCATCTGTCCTTCTGTTTTCCGAGGCTTGGACTTGTCAGGTCTACGCCAAGGTAGCCGATCTTCCTGGACTTGGGGGAGGCGGAGGATATGAATGTCTTCGGGCCCCCCTTGGGCTCAAACATTTCCACATCCACCGCTTCCCAGTGCCCCAGGACATCGGCCCTCCAGGCGGTGGGTATGGACGAACCCCCGCCTCGCACTCGTGTCGTCGGGGCGACTTGCTCGTGCCTCAAGCCAGATCCCTTTAACCTCGAAGGGGCGAACATATCATTCCTCGAGCCGAAGTCCTCCAACCGTGACGAGGATTTTTTGGGGGCGAGCATCGCGAGCCTCGGGCCAGACTCCTCGAATATCGAACCTGCATCCTCGAGCCTCGAACCTCGAAGGAGGGGGGCTGGGCGGGCAGACATCGAACCCGCATCCTCGAACATCGATCCTCGAACGAAGAACCTGCATTCTCGATCCTTGATCCTCCAAGAGGAGGGGGGAGGTGGGGGCCGAAGGGGGGAGGGGGTGAGTGGGGGGGGGGCAAAAGCCGAGCCTGCATCCTCGAGCATCGACCCTCGAACAACGAACCTGCATCCTCGATCCTCGAATCTCGAACGGAGGGGTGCACAGGATCGAATTACTCCCTCGAACCTCGATCCGAACCTAGAGACTCGAGCCTCAAGCAGGAGGAGGAGGAGGATGATGAGGAGGAGGAAGAAGACGAGCAGGAGGAGGAGGAGGGTGGGGGAGGCATCCAAGGCCGCGACCTCTTCGACGGGGGTGCCACGTCTGCTGTTGGTGTGCGGCGCTCGGCTCGCCCCTGGCCAGGAGGGGGGTAAGGGAGGGGAGGGGTCAGATGAGGACGGGGAGGAGGGGGAGGGGGAAAGGGAGGTGGGGGAGAAGAGAGGTCCTTGATCCTTGAAGTTCCAAGCTCCTCTCTTCCCCCTCTCCTGCTCCCCCTCGTCCTCTCCCTCTCCCCCTCCTCTCGTGCGGGCAGCAGGAGAGGAGGAGGGGGAGAAGGTGGCAGAGGAGGAGGAGGAGGAGGAGGAGACCTGCGAAGTTTGATGATGAAAGTTCGAGGATGGAAGTGCTCGTTCGCTTTAAGCCCTCTTTTCGACTCCTGGGCCCCCTCGTCGCTGGTGTTGGATCCGCCTTGAAGTTCTGGTCGTAGCGCACGCTTGAAGAATATTATACTATGGGAGGAAAGGGGGGAGGACAGGAAAGAGGGGGAGAAGGGCGGAGAGGAGAGCAAGGGACAAGAAGAGAAGGAACATCGCGTGGGTGGCAATTGACGCCAGAATGGACAGTTGAAGAAGTGTGTGGGCACGTGGGGCCCTCCTCGTACGTGCTGCGTTCCAACACGGGCGTATCATTTAAGCAAAGATCCTGAGGGGCAGCGTGTCTTCTTGCCATCGCTCGGACGTCCATTCCCTTTGCATGGTTCGGTGTCGCGCGTGTTTCCACACACACACACACACACGGTCCAGGATGCTCCAAGAGGGTCCAGATTGTCTGGCGCTGGCCTCGCCGAGGAACACTGCACACGTCCGAGCGATGCCAAGTCTTTGAGTCAGCGCACCACTTGGAGAGATAGGGGGAGAGAGAGAGAGAGAGAGAGAGGGCGATGCGGCAGCAGAGCGGGAGGGAAGAAGGGAGGGGCGGCAACGGCAGCGAGCGGCAGGCGAAGCAGGAGCAACAGAGGGGCGGCAGGCAGGGAAACAGCGCGCACAGCGCGCACAAAGCGCCCAGGTGGCGTTCAGCCCCGGGGCCCCGAAGATCGGGCACTGCGGGCCCTCCCCCGGGGCAGTCTCTTCATCCTGGGCTGAGCTTCGACAGTCCAGAGGTGCAGGAAGGGCCCCGAAGACACGGAAAGTATCATGTTCGATTGCACGCAAGTGTCCGTATTCCCTAAGATTGCAATTCCCCCCGAATCAGCGGAAAATGCGTCAAATGCTCCGTACGTAGATCTATCGAGCATTCTAGGGGCGTCTTTGTTGGCCTGAGGTCCCTAGTGGGATCCTCGGCCCCCTCCAATGGGTATTGGCGCCCTCATGGTAGGTGGGAGTGGGAGCCCACACAGCCCCTATGATATGATGGAAGCTGCGCGAGGTGTGAGACCCATTGACGGCCCCCGCGGGCGAGGCAATAGAGACGGGCCTCGCCAGAGGGGGGAAGAGAGGAGAGGTGTCGGCGCCCATGGTGGCGCCGTTGGCGTCGGAGGTCGTCCCGAAGATGTCGAGTCCTTCCCGACAAGAGGGGGCCCGGAAAACGGGGGGCCTGAAAGGGGGGAGGAGCCCAGACGAGCCCAGAGGCGGTGACGTTTACCCGGCTGCACGTGTCCAGTCAGGGGGCTAAGATTTGCCCAGGAGGGAGAGCCAGGAGGAGGGGGGAGGGTGGTATCGGAAGGGGCGGAGGGGAGAGAGGGAGGGACAGGAAGGCAACGCGGGCGAGAACGGGGAGGGGGAAGGAGGCGGGGGAGGGAGTGTGAGTAGGCGAAGACAGTCGGTCCCAGTGTTTCGTTTCAGCTTCCGCTTCGTTCCGACCCCCCCCAAAGTACATGCCTGGCGTACGGTAGGAGCTGGGCGAGGCAGAAAGGGAGAGGAAGAGAGGAGGAAGGAGAGGAAAGGAGGCACCCGGCAAGGTAGAAGAGGGGGAGGAATGAGAGGAAAGGAGGGACCCGGCAAGGTAGAAGAGGAGGAGGAGGCAGGAGAGGGAATGAAGGGAGAGGAGGAAGGACGGGAATGGAGGAGTCGGGGCTTGGGGACATCCAACAGAGATGGCCAGGGCTGGAACGAAAAAAATGCTCGTCCCTGGGGAAGCGGTGGGGAGCTCCTAGGTGCCGCTGATGCAAAACAAGACACCGTCGGATGTCTGGGGATGGGGGAGGAGGGAGAGGCGGAACGACAGGTGTTCGGTTTCTTCATTGCTTTGCTGGTCGGCGCGGGCCCTCACCCCCCCTTCCCCCCCATGGAGTAAATCTTGGCTGTTTCTGGCGCCTTTCTCAAGTATGTGGAGTCTCTGCTGCAAACAGTCGCATTGCGCAGAAGTCCGGAGCCAGACCCCCCTCCCGTCCCCCCCCCTTTTTCCGCCCAATGTCGAAACGACGAATTTGAAAATGTTCCGAACTGGCTCCCCCATCGGCTCCAGCTCGGGCTTGCACCTGGGGCAACCCCGACCTCCGACGGCTTGAGATTCGGGGACCGGGGACCTCCTGGGGAACGTTCCGGTCGCCACGGCCAGATGCGCCTCTCGCAATCCCAGCCTGGACGGTCCACGGTCCAGGGCGGAGGCCCATACTTCCGAGGAAGGGCTCGTCTCCGCAGCCCCGGCGCTCTGGGCCACCCAGCGCGGATCTGGGACAACAGGGTTGGTCCCCAGGGGTCAAGACCTGCGGGGGGGCAGGATCTTGCGGGTCCTGCGGTTCTTCTACATACATGATACCGGAGAAAAGCCAAATCAGGGCTATAGGGCTAGGGGGGCTATAGAGTTGTAGGGCTATAGGGCTATTGATAGGGCACCCCCGGGCACGCCCGGGCACCCGGGCACCGGCGGGCACCCGCGGGCACCCCTGGGCACCCGGGCACCCGGGCGTGCGAAAATCGGCGGCAAACCTAACCTAACCTTATGAATATTGAGCTATAGGGCTATAGAGCTATAGGTCTATAGAGTTGTAGGACTATTGGGCTATAGGGCTATAGGGCACCCCCGGGCACCCCCAGGCACCCCCGGGCACCCCCAGGCACCCGGGCACCAGGGCACCCGGGCACCAGGGCACCCCCAGGCACGCCCGGGCACCCGCGGGCACCTGGGCACCCGGGCACCCCGGGCACCCCCGGGCACCCCCGGGCACCCGGGCACCCCCGGGCACCCTGGCGTGCCGCGAAAATCGGCGGCGAGCCTAACCTAACCATATGAATCCGCTAGGACCCCTACAGAGGCAAGCTCTGATTGGGGAATGTTTCATATCGTTCGCATTTCACGTCGTCTTTGAGGTTGACCTGGCCCTCTCCTTCCAGAGCTTCTCTGGCTTGTGGAGGTCATGTTCAGCTCTTTCGGGACGTGCTGACCAAGATCGGTCCACGGTCTTCTTTGTCAGGGGGAGGTCACGGGAGGATGATCTGAACAATCTCGTCGTTGCAGCCAGTCTCGTCTTAGCTTTGCTGTTCCCAGCTAGTTCCCAACGAGGATGTTATACAATTACTATTCAGCTTCTGGTGGGGCACGTGTTCGTAGCTCTGGCTGATGTGCGCTTGAGGCTCGCGCTCCGCTGCAAGAGTGTACCAGCATGGGCTTCTCAGGTGATGCGGTTGCTCCCGAAAGCTGTGATTCAGCAGCTTGGCACCTGCGACTCGGTATGGGAGCAAAGTCTGCGGGATGCAGTGTCATTGGCTGATTCGCCAGGGGGCTATGCCTATGCGCTTTTCTCGCATGCGACACTCTACATTGGCAAGGCCCGTACGACTCGACAAGAAGGCTTGGCCTGGTCTCCCAGTGCGGCTATGCGAGCATATTCGTTCCATCTTGCGGCCTGGTCGCAGGGATGGCTACCAACCAGGCGAAGTACAAGTTGCTCCGCAAATCCCTCGGCAACATGTGCTTCATCCCGCTGATGTTTGCCAAAGCCCACGAGGCGAGCTACGCAAAAGAGGCTGTGTTCATTAGGTGTGCTGCTCCGCTTGCCAACCGGGCTGATTTGGCCCCAGACCGAGAAAGCAGGCAGTTGGGAACGCTTGTTCGACGAGGGCGCTCCCGTTTTCGCCGGCACCTCGTTCTCTTGCCCGCCGCCAACTAGTCAGTGTATGTTCTCTGCCCGTTTTCTTGGCCTCCGCCGCTGCCAGGATGCAGCGATCGCACGAAAGGGTCGGCCCTAGCATGTGTGGGAAGTATGCTGACGTTACCTCACCATCCAGCAAGCCGTATTTGCAGTGAGTGGGGCATATGGACTTTTGAACCCATTCAGCATCGCGTGCCCGAGCTTGTTTGTGACGTATGCTGCGACGACGTCTCCAACAATTCATTTTCCGAGGCAGTGGTCACGGGCAGCGATTGCAGAGTTCTTGCATGGCGCAGTGCAGTACTTAAAACGTGCGTCTCTGGTTTAGCTGGGCAAACAGCTGCCCAGAGGCAGTTTCTGCTGAAGGGACATCGCCAGCCACCGCTGCTTGTGCCTCCAGTGCGGCCCCCCGACTTTATCGTCACATGCTGCTCCTGCGGCGCATCGTTGAGAAGGCAGTCTTTCGCATCCGGTCCGACCAGCTCGACGTTGGCTCACGGATCGAATCCGGGTTGTTTTCGAACGGCCCCTTTTCCGGTTCGAAAAGTTCCGAGTCAAGCATGGATTATAGATGTTCTGTTCCGACGATTTCCAAAAGTACGAGTTTGTTGAACTTGCGCTTCATGCCAAGGCTCCTAATTAGCTCGAAGGCTGCGGGAGGCAACTGGCGGCTTCCACAGTGGCAAACACCTCGTCATATTCGCAACTCTTCATTGTCAGCTTGGTCCTTTTGGTGTTTTGCTGTCCAGCTTCCACCTCGCGCGCGCGCAGGGCGGGTCAACAAGCAGTTCACGCAACGAAGGCTGCTTTCTGGTTTCCTGAAGCCCCCCTCCGCAAGGGCAGCCACGGAACGACTTCTGCAGGACGCCCTTTCCACGGGTCATTCCGTCATCGGCGACGATTGGGACCCATCGAAGGCTAGGATTGCGAGGCCCAAGGAAATATACTTCAAATTGCTGTCGGATGCGGTTGCGGACTCTGGTTCGTGGAGTGCGGGAAAAGGTTTCTCCGTTCAGGACATCGCTGCTTGGACGCGCGCCCGTGCTCTATTAGGCCTTCCTGTGTTCTTGCGCTGTGGTCCTCCGCGCACCATTCAGGTTCCCATCATGTTCCAATGGGTAAAATCCAAATGTTATTCAGACGCTAGCCCGAAGGTCTGCCAGAAATTGGGACATCCATGCGTTCATAATTTTGCGTTTCGTTTTTGTTATTGGGTTGCGGCTTCACACGCCTGCCGCTACGTTAGCCAAGGTGTACCAGTCGTGTGTGTGTGTGACTTCTCTCGGCTGGCCCTAACCATGCTCTGTCATACAATCTGTGTACCACCCTCACCACGTACGGATTTCAAATGGAGTTCCCCAGATTCTCCCAGCTCGCGGATGCGACTCGGGCGAGGTACAGTGCACGTTGTGACGAATTGCCCCGCGTCCCAATCTTAGCCTTGAGCATGATTGCAGATGATGAATGGTGCCCGTATCGCAAGCTGACGGGCTGGCACGTCTTTATTCTATTCGCTCGTATTTTTCGGCGTCAAGATGAGCTCTTGATCTGCAGCGTCGACATTTGGGCAAGGGCGACCTGATTGTCAGAAGCACTGTATACGAGCGCTGAAACGATATCATTCACCCGCCCCCCTTTCACGAAGCTCTTCTCCGACGGGCCTATGCTTGGATCCCTGGGGCCACCATCCTGGACGCTGGTCGCGTCTGTGTTCGGGTCAAAACGCTCTCCGGCAGGTCCAGCATGCAGATCTTCCTGGCTCTTATGCGTATGCTGCCACGTTGTGTTTGCACGGGTGCTCGGTTTCATGCTATTATCCGTGGACTTATTTTTGGGTGTCCTTATCCCGACCAGCCCCAGAGAGACATCGATCATATGAATCATTACTTTGCCTGTCCCAGGCCTCAGCAGTTGTTCTCCACCTGGATGGGCTCTTGGGCTCTGAGATCTTCCGGGGCTCCTGAAAGGTCGCCCTGGCTTCACTTTTACCTCCTATTACAAGGGATGGTCCCTGATCAATGTTTCTTAACTCCCATGCTCTGTGACGCTTTCCTAAGTATGCACACCTCTGGTCGCTACAGACTTCCAAGTACTCCGCAGCAACAGTTTGCAGCTCGTCTCCGCATTCAGGTACGGAGGCATCGCGCGCGCCGCGAAGTGCGGTCTGCGCTGACGTTCGAGAGATTCATCCGTGGGGAGAGTGGCCTGCAGAGCTCCGACCACATTTTTTGTTAAAGAAAATGGGGGGGACATTCGTGCTGGCGGCGGATTCTGGATTTTTCGCAGGTGCCCCACGCTTGTGGATGGCGCGTGGTTTGCCGTGCCATCAGGGGTTTGTTGAAGGCCACTGGGGCACCGCACGAGGTTTTCGACTTGTCGGATGTTTCTGGGCGGCCATGCTTGCTGTCGTTGCCCTGAGATCTAGTATTATTGAGTTGAACGGCCTTGCCATTGGGGGCGTCATGTCCACGGCTGCTGTGGCGATCGTTCTGGGAGGTGCGGAAGCAGGTTTTTCTCCAAATTGTAGGAGCCTTAGCTTATCATAAGCAATTGGTCTTTAGCCCCCCCTCCCCTTTTCCAATGCCCCCCCCTTTTTGTCAATGGCCACCCCCCCCTTTTTCCAATGGCGGCGTTTGCTTGCTTGCTCTTGCGTGCTTGCTCGCGCTTGCTTGCTCTCGCTTGCCCTTGCTCGCTTGCGCTTGATCGCTGGCTGTTGCTTGCTTGTTATTGCTCGCTTGCGCGTGCTTGCTTCCGCTTGCTTGCTTGCGCTTGCTTGATTTTGCTCCTCCCGTCCTGCTCCCGTCCTCCTTTCGTCCTCCTCCCATCCTCCTCTCGTCCTCCTCCTCGTCCTCCTGTCCTTCTATCTATTTGGAGTAAACGCTGGCTGATTTTTTCTGTAGATCGCAAGTTATACGGCCAGCATGGTTTCCATTACCAGGGCCACACACACCATGGCTCAAGTTGTGGGGTTGCTACGGTGCGTGGACGAAATTATCATTTTCTCTTGGTGGTATTGGTCGTCTTGCTTAGCGGTATATATCCAGTTCGCGTTTCAAGAACATGTTCGTGTTGCAACGCAGTCGACGGAAGTACCTGCTGGCACTTCATTCGAGTGGGTAGACTTGGAATCGCGAGTCTGTTGAGATGTATTGTGCACCAACCTGAAGAATCTGAATCGCAAATCGCAAATGGTTGACTGACCGTGCCGCTGGTGCTGGTCTCGTTCTTTGGTTGGATTGCATGCCCACGACGTCAACCAATTACGCAGGTGGTTGGTCTGCAAAATGTCGTATGCTATTTCGTTGCAGTAGTCTTTAGGGGCGGTATGTAAATCAATGGTGGAAGGTGTTTTAGCATTGTTGTTTCTAGGCTACCCACGTGGTCTTTTACGACGTCTAGTGCATAGCCCTCCGCGTGTCCCGACGGCGCAGTCTGCACGACGGTTAGTCCCGGTGTGGTTCCGCTCTCTTGTGGCTGAGCGGAATAAGAAGCAAAACGTGCCCAGGGGAATCAGGAATGCCCACCGTTTCCTTCTGAAGTGCGACCCGGGTTATCAAATGCACCGGGAAAGTGTGCGGAATCAACGCCCGGGTATTGCAATCATGAGATGAGGGACATTTTGTTGCAGGAGTGTGACTCCCATCCCGAGTGAGACCTCCTCCATTTCATTGTGTCCTTGTCGCGCCGTCGCATGCTGTTTGCAGGCTCGCAGGTGCTCTGGCAGGCACGGGCGCTCAACTGTCAGAGCATGATCCCGAGGTGCCAGAGGTTTTCATGATAAGACACTTTTTCGTCTGCCTATATCTTGGCTGTTGCGGTGCTGCTGCGGGTGACGGAAGGGGGTAGACGTTAGATTTCGCCCACACCCGAAGTGAGGGCCTGCAGGCCTCCCAAGTGGGCTCGGAGTAGATGGAGTCGGAGGATCGCGCCGCATCGCCGATCCATCGGCTCTGCGGCTCGACGTGGAGCCCGAAGGTCTAAGCGCCGGCGTCGCCGATACACTGGCGACGATGCCGATGCATCGCCGATGTGTCGGCGATGCGGTGCGATCCTCACACCCCATCTGTTCCGACCCCATTTAGGAGGCCTCGAGGCTTGAAGAGGTCACACCGTCGGATGTCTTGGGGTCTGGCCTTCTAAGAAGGCGGGGGGGGTTCTCAGAAACCTTCCTGCTGCTTCCGAAGAGGCATTCTGAGGCTCCTGAGAAGGCTTCTCGGCTCTACGAAGGCCAGCTCCCTCTCCTTCCCCGTGGTCGCGCTGACGACGGGCTCTTCTAAGCGGCTTCCATCAACATCGTCAGACCAATCCCCATCTCCAAGCATTAGCCCCGCTGGCCGACCTGCCACCCAGGTGGAGATATAATGCTGTCATCTCCTTCGGGATTCGCGGCACGCATCCCTACCTGGGGGGTAGGCTGGTGGTACTAAAGTAATTTCTTGGGCCCAGCGGGGGCAGGTATAAGAACAACGATGCGGCTTCTGGCGCGCTTTCTGGTGGGTCTATCCTCCTCCTCCTCCTCCTGTTCCCTCATCCCTCCTTCCCATCAACCGCGCGTACCTTTGCCATGACTCCTGCCCTCCCTCCTACACCTGCTCTTTCTCTCCCACTTGGTCGGGTTGGTCACATCTTGGCTGCGCTGCATGAATCGACCGACCGGCGCATTGAGGAAGCAGGAGGACGAGGTGGGGAAGAGACAAAGGAGACATGATAGACGGAAGAGGGGGAGGAGGGGAATACGACGGGGAGGAGAAGGAGGAGTCGAAGGAGGAGGAGGAGAAGGAGGAGGAGGAAGAGGAGGAGGGCGGGAGAAAGACGAGCAGCAGGAGCCGGCGGACTGTGGCCGCCGGCCCACCGAGGTGTTGCGCTATTAGCCCCCTCAGCCCCCGCCGGCGGGAGCTCCCCGCGCGCGAGAGTCAGAGAAGCATGGACCACCGCCACCAAGAACCCATCGGTGGGGGGCCGAACCCTGGGCGGCGTTTCGCCCGAGCGATATCCCAGGACAAGGCGACCCTCAGGCGTGCCACCGCCCAGGGTTCGGTCCCTCGCCGATCGGATCTCGGTGGCAGTGGTCCATGTTTCTCCTCTGAGACAAGATTCGCCCCAACCACTTGGAGAGGGAAAAAGCTCGGGGAACTGGCAATGACATAGGCATAAAATCTTGGCGGTCCGCGCGGATTTCTCGGATCGGCGTTGGGTCCCCCTCCCGTGCGCGCGGAGCTCGCCATGGGGCTCCAATAGTTTATGTTTCTGTTGCCGCTCGTTGTTTTGCACTCGGAGAGGGTAAAGGGTCGACATGAACATGCGGTCGGGGACGGTTCGGATAGCGTGTCGCTCCGCCGCTTCTGACCCACCATGCCCTCGGCGCGACACACAAGCCATCCGCTCGCAAGGCACAGCGTGTCGCCAGGGGCCGCCGCCGCGACACGCCAGGCAAAGGCTCCCGACCGCAAGCGCCTGGGATTCCGCGCGGCGTTCTCGGACCCAGCCCAGACCTCCCCCGCCCGACGCGCGGAGCATGTTGCGGCGCCGCCAGGCTTGGTATCGCTCGAACGTGTGCATGTTTCCTCGGCGGAGATCCTTCAGGAGTATCCTGGATCATCCTGCGGAAAAAAAAAGAAACAAACACGCACGACACCGAACCATGCATGGGGAATGGGCGTCAGAGCGATGGCAAGCACGGGGCTGCAGCTCCGATGGACAGGGGTCCGCGCGGGCCTCCGGGAATGTTTGCGGTGCGTGGCATTTGTTTGTTTTGCTCCTCTGGCCTCAGGGGCACACGCAGGGAGGGATAGGCTCAAGGGGGATGTATCGATTCGGATGCAACTCCTGGGAGTGCAAATTCTGACTTTGCCCTGGTCCGCAATCCGGCCGATTCCCGCTTAATCCCGCTTCACTTCGCTTAATCCGCGCCCTCGTCCGGCATATTAGCCCGCAATTGGGCTGAATCTTCCTCAATCTTTTCGACGAAGACCTCCCAGTGGATGCCTCCTAAGGGAGGTATAGGTTCATGGCCGCTTCATCGCCGATGTGGGCCTGATAGGCTAGCAGGCCTCCATCGGCGATGGGTCGGCCCACTCCGCCCACCACGTGCGGCTTCGCGATCGGGGGCCTGTTGCCGATCTCTCGGGGACGTATCGCCGATTCGACGTCGACGTTGACCCCTTGAGCTGGCACTCCCATTGGAGCCTGTTTGGTTGTTCGACCTCTTCCTCCGCCGTTTCCGTGTCGCCACCGCCGCCTCAGGCGACACGCCATATAGTGTCGTAAGAATGCGACTTCCCTGGATTATCTCCCCTGCCCACTCTATTATAGCCCCTCTCTGCTCCGTTGTCCCTCTATGATTATCAATTCCGTAGCCATTTTGGCTCAAATCTGTAGCGTGGCCCGAGTGTCAGCAGCGGACAAGAGCATTGGACCAGCCCCCATTTTTTCACGCACCCACAGTTCGCAGATTGTTGTGCAGCGCTATGCGCCCTGGCACAATAAGTTCGTTTACCAAGTGCCAATGCGCCATCAGAGCCAATGCCAAGGGAGGCGGCAAAGGCAAAGACGACGACATGTGGCTTGAGTAGTTACCCGCCAGTTCCCAGCCAGTGGAACCACTTCGCAGGCACGGCAAGGTGGTGGGGAAAACGCAGGGGACGGCCCACGGTGGAGCGCACATCCTGTGGCAAGAAACCCTTTTTTTTTCCAAGATCGCTTCACGTCGAAGAATTGGACTTGTGTGTGGTTGTAAATTCAGCGATGCTGCTTACGTGTCTTCTTATCCTTCTTAGCGAGAAGGGGGCCAGCAGCCAACTCCCAAGATCTCGCCAGAGGCTCAACTGCGTAAGTTGGTCGCCCTTTTGCCTGACAAGACCCAATGCGCAGGTCAGGGGTTCCTGCAGGCTTTGGATGAGCCAGCCCCCAAGCCACCCCTCCAGCCAGGGAAGGGCCTGCAGCTAGCTTCGGCTCGGGTCAGCCGCGCTAGGAAGCAGCTGGAGAAGGTCAAATCAGCATGGGTCCGCCACAAAAGAGATCCCGAGAAGGCCGAGAAGGATTTGCGGGATGCCACGGAGCAGGCGCACCGGGCTGAGGCGGAATAGATTGCAGCAGCTAAACAGTTATTGCCCTTCTTTGCGCTATCTGACAGAATGACAGCCTCAGTTGATGTCCAGCAGGTTTGGGATGGCATTCTGGAATTTGAGATCAAATTCGAATAACAATTGGACGGGCTGGAGGTGTTGGAGGAGGATCGCCAGATACTCGACGGGGCCAAGACAATGCTTCAGAAGGTTCTCTCCGAGACGGTGCAGGCTTCGCGCGGCCCCCTGCAAGAAAATATCGACCAGCACAAGGAGCAAGCAGCTCGCAGCCGTGGTCGAGAGGGCGAAGAAGAAGTAGAGGAAGGTGTCAGATGCCCCGCGCGCAGGTGAGGCAGCTGGCTCAGGAGGGCGGGCAACAACTGAGGAGGCGGCCCAAACCCCTGTCCCAGAAGACAGCCAGAAGTCTAACCCCCAAATCGCTGCCACGGGGGAGGACGGCCATCTGGACCCCCAAATGGCCCGCCCCGAGCGCGAGGTGGAGGGGCTTGGTCGGGGGGTTCGTTCAAGCGAGGGGCAGGGAGGAGGGTCGGACCTTTGATGCTGAGGCCCAAGACGTCAAGAGCTTGTGCGTGAGAAATCTCTCTGGATGGGGCTTTCAAGCGAAGGGCCTGCTGCGGGAGAGGGGTCACGATATCCTCAGATTTCCTGAGCTGCCTGAAGAACGCCACGAAGGCCCACGTGCATGGGATAGAATGAACTACCAGGCTGAAGCTGCGGCGTCGTATTATGTGGAATGGAGCGAAGAGAGCCGGTGGCACTTCGGCTGGCATATTGATCAGGTACAGTTTCCAGTCTTTCGGGCACTTGGCGAACAAACCCTCGCAGCAGTTGGGGCTCATATTGCTGGGCGGGCCTGAGGGCGCCAAGCTAAGAGGCCTGGGCTCCATGGACCGAGTGGCGTTCCAGCTGAAGATCGGTGGCCAGGCGGTCACCATCATGGGGGCGTACCTCACACCTGGTATAGGTTTGAGAATGCACCAGCATTGATAAGCTCATTCAGGTGGGCCAGCTGACCATAGCATCCGCGCGCCTTGGTTGGTCATTGGCGGTTTCAATGCGGAGCCGCAAGAGCTGGAAAACGATTAGTTGGTCCAATTTGGTTGATGGGATATTTGGACGGCGCATGGCTTTGATTGCGCGTGTACCTTGGGTCGGAAGGTTTTGATCGACAAGATGGTTGCGTCGCCATCTATGATCATATTTCTTGAGTCCTTCACTGTGGGCGACACTACCTGTCACCCGGGAGGTAGAGCGCACTTCGGATTGCAGCTAACGTTGAAGATGAATTGGGGGCAGGCTTCCAGATGGGTTATACCGTTGGCAGAAAGATTCATCTGCCTGCCCCCCATGCCCAAGCAGCAGAAGGGCCCAGGGGGCAGGCGCGCTCGGCAGCTGGAATTGCAAAAGGAGGGGCAGGTTGAACAAGTGGTGCCACCCGTGGCGGCACCGTTCAGGAAGCGCAAAGTGATTGGTTTCACGTCACCGCCGCAGATCAGCTACCTCACCAACGACGACTGGGGCATGGAGGAGGAGGAGATCGGCATTTGTTTCTCCGTTGTACCAGGCGGTGCAGTTATGGATGCTGTCGGTGAAGGTTGTTCGCAAGACCCTGCCCCCCCAGGTGCACCCATGAGGTAAACGGCGAGAGGGTTAGGGCACCGTCGCCACTGGTTCAGCGCAAGTCCCTGTCCCCATGAGCGCCCAAGAGGTAAGCAGCGAAAGGGGCAGGGCTCAGTCGTCGCGCGTTGCTGCTGAGGGTGATGCAGGCGCTGATGCTGGTGAGGTTTCGTCATCTGGAGTGCCCGTGGGCCCCCCCCGAGTGCCGCGGGCCCTCGGGCCGCTGCTGGCACGAGGGTGGGGGTCGAGTCGCGCCGCTACTGGTGGGGCGGCGCGGACGGGGTTCCAATCGACTGGATGGGGCGGCGCGCAGGTCTGGGCGGGGCGGGGGGCAGCTCTGGGGGCGGCCCGCAGCCCCGCCCGCCCAAGCCAGGGGCAGCCGCGCGACCGCTCCGTAGCGGCGGATTCGGCGGGGCCAGAGTCGGGCAGAACCTGAAGGGCGCAGAGGGCCAGGTCATCAGCCTCTCGTGGCCACGAAGGAGCAGCAGGATCCGGTGCGGGAGTCGCCGCAGGACCCAGTCAAGGAGGCCAAGGCGCCGAGCTACGTGAGAGACTCTTCCGCCTTCCACCTGGACGAGGCAGGGGCGATGATGAAGGTAGGGTCCGAATTTGCCCGATGGGTCTCGCGATTCGAAGGTTTTTTCTTGCGCCGTGCCGGAAGTCCATCCCAAGGGCCAGCATGGATTTAAGGGCCGTGCCGAGCTGGGGGAGCTCCAAAAGCGACCTGAGGCCCAGGGTGCCCACTTTGTTTCTTCCATGGGCCCAGTGGCCCACTGGTGAGCCACCCTGAGCTTCTTACTGACGGACCTGTAGGGCCCGGGGCGTGGCCTCGACTGCGCCAGTCTCATCACGTCTGCCACTCTCAGATAGGGCGTGTTCCAGTTGGGCCCGCGGACTTCGGTTTCTCAGGGGGGCTTCAGACCAGGCCGGCATAGATTTCGAAGCTAGAGCGAGGCAGAATTCAGTAAGAGCCCATCGCCTCTGTCCTGAACAATACTCTCACCTGGATCCACCGGTGGGTGACGCAGCCGGACCGGGCTAGAGGCCGTGGCACGTATAGCCGCAAAAGGGACAAGCCCGTGCATGCCGGGGAGGTTCGGGCGGGGGGGGAGACGGCTGTGGACCCCTGCCAGAGGTTGGCTGTCAAGGCCAAGATCAGGGCAGGCAAG